CAGCACAAACTCAGATTAATATCCCATCAAAAACATATTTCATGCAAATAATAGTACTCACGACAAACTTTATACCAAAGAATCAAAGATATATAGACCCAAAACTTTCTACAAGCAAGCTCAGTCAATACCTCATCAAGTCATCTATCCAAAAATAATTGAAAGGAAGATTAGAGCATAGTACAAACAAATCTGATGATCTAACTATATCAGATAAACATGATATTCTCTTGAGAGAAAAGCCTTCAGTGATTTCAAGTTCCCTCATTTAAAACACCACACCTGCAAAGATAAGTCTCTTTTAAGGAATTTCAACAAAATAGTCTAACTATCTGCTCTCCTTTAACTACTGACTCGAAAATTCAGCCATACAGATGAAAAGACAAGGCTATCAATATGTACATCCTCAAGCCACAGTGTATTGGATGTGATTCCTTCCTAGATCAAAAGGCTTGAAATCAACTAGGCATTTCAGTGTTTTTAAAGTATTCCTCTAATTCAAATTATAGGGTTTAACATTTTAACACGCATGAGCCGTAATCAAAATAATATAATTGTCTGCATGACCAACTGCTCGTCAGCACAGATTAATTCAGATACACTATTTCAGAAGTATATGTAAAACCCCTTAAAACAATGAGTCAAATGCAACTCTAAGTCTCAAATCACGTTTCACCTAGGTATTTCAGTGTCATTTCAGATTCAGAAAAAATACTAGTTTACATGCCAAGAATCGCAGTTACTTCCAAATTACACGTGAAGCAACTCAGTTGAATATTTTGAAATTTTTTGCAATTTGCTTTTAGCTCACGACTATTCCCTTCCAATTTCCCCCAATATATTAGCAAAATAGCAAGTCTAGCAGATATGGTGAGTAGAGACAAAGTAATTCGAAGTCAACTTCAAAGGCTAATTAAATTTCTCCCTGTGCTCTAGAATTTCACAATAATATCATCAAAATAAGCTCAGGTAAACAACCTGTAAACTTTAGAGTTTGATACCTTCCAGCCATAATTTGAACACTTCAATCTGTAAAGGAGCAAGTAGCCTAGAATTCTCAGAATACGGATATGTAAGGTGTTCAAAATTCTAAGTATCTACAATTTGTTGTTTAAACAACTGGTCTATGTATAGGTTTATAACACTTCAGTGGCCAACACAAAACCGATGATATACAATTATACAGCAGAGCAAGCATTACAGTAGTGTGGGGTACAAACGTACAACAGGAGGAAGAATCATACCACGTCAGTTTTGATATAGATGAACAACACAATTGCAAGATTAATAATGTACAGAGCACCAAATAAAATCTGCAAAAACAATAAGTTCATTGTCAGTCAGTAGTACAGTAGCACAAAGCAAGAGATGAGGAGAAAAGAAATATTTAAAATGATTGAATACTCCATATTTGATTTGCATCCTTACATAAAATATTTTCAAATGGTTTCAAATTATAATTACCAGATTACATTTTTTTTCTAAGAGATTGTGGGTGAAAGCTTTGTCATAAGTTTTTACATACAATATATTCTTCCTTTATCCTTAGTGGGCGGACAATTGTGCTACAGAAAGAGGAAATGGATACCAAATTCTAGCACTGTCACAGTATGCAAATGATGAGCCATGATACACTCAAGACATCACGGACCTTCCTCAATGCCACAAGAGACTCAATTGCTCATGTGATCAATGACCAATTAACTAAGATGACACGGAGAGGAAAGAACCTGAGCAGGATGGACTAGCCCTCCTGTGATGTACTGGATAGCTGAATATACATAAAGAAAACCAGCGGGATAGACAAGAGGTCCGGTGTCACCTTCAATGTTACTATAATCTCTCTCTCCATTCAGAAATTGTGAAACCTGTTTGGCAATATCATAAGTCAATATCATGATTACTACTGAAGAGTCGAGCTTAGCTTCCTAAAACCACATTACTATGTTAATGCTTTACACACCTGTGACATGTAAGCATCCCAATCAATTTTTGTGTCTGACAAAGAAAACCGAAATCTCTTAGCAAATCCAACCCAGCAATTCACACAACAATGTAGCAAGAGTTTAGAATGAACTTACACGGGACATAAGCAATTATACAAAAGACTAGAACAGCATCGAACACAAGAAGCGCACAGGCAAAGAACACGGCTTTATTCTTTTTAGCTCTATCCAATAAATTCGGGGGCGTTTTCGATAGCTTGTGATCGGTCTCAGGACTAACTTCCAGGGATTTCCTTGCTTTTGATCTTAACTTGTCACTCATAGCTCATTCACCAAATTTCCAGCTATTAATTCTTCAGCTAATTATCACATTATACAATAAAGTATTAGGTTTTCATAGCCATTAAGCTTAATATGTCTGAATCAATCATAATTATTGCCTAAAAACTGAAACAAACTCCGCTTCTCAATAATCCGGACTAATCTAACCAAATTAACCACGAATTTCTTATTTTCGAGCAATATAATGTGGTTCAATTCAATTCACAGACATAAAGAATCAATCTTAATATAAATTAGAGACAAACCAAACCAAACCAAACCAAATCAAATCAAAATAATCATACTATATGATGAGCATATTCTATATGAATTACATAAAAGCAAAACATTCGGGGGGAAAAAAAAAAAAAAAAAGAAGCGGAAATTACAATCATGAAAGTTACAATCAGAATTAAATGAAATAAAGTGAAGAATCATGAATTAAAAAGCGGGTGTTAGAAGGGAAGGTGAAAACCTGGAAATTGGAGATTTCCCAGAAATTGTTGCTGAGAGTTGAACTGTAAAGTCTTGAGCTTTCTCCGTTTGGCTACTTTGTCTTGCTTTAGGTGCAAGTGTCTAACAACTAACTGGTCTCTTTGGAGACATCTCATAAAACTAACTAAACTTCTTAAGAATCTTAACCAATACTCATAGAAATTACTAGGCTTATTTTACTTGTAAACTAGTTTAGATCCCGTGTCATGCACGGTTATTGTTAAATTTATCATATCATTAATCATTTTGACTTAACAAAACATCTTATATCAATCACTAATTATAGTTTTATGAAAATTATAATATACACTCTGGTTCAAAAGTATTTCTTGCTCATTTGATAATTAAATGAACAATATTTATCAAAATACGCAAAAGATAATCTTGAGTACACATTACACCCAACTAAATATAAGAATCTTTGTCACTTTTCTTGTTTTGACTTTTGCATAATTTACATACATCACATTGACCAACGTTTGTTATAATCGTATCAATGTATAGTTTTCAAACATTTATAAAAAATAGAGGGAGTATAATCTTCATATTTCAAATGTTATTTAACACAGTAAATAAAAGAAGTTGACTCAGACAAAAAAAAAATGAAGTAATATCCTGATACATTACCTATATTATCGACGACAATAATTCTATTGTAATGTACTCTGTAACTCAGGTTGGGTTATTTAAAGAATAACCAAAAGGTTTGATTATTGATCTAACCAACTAAAACTTTGCTTATTTTCAACAATTGTTTAACACAAATTTTATTTATATCCATATAGCAAACTCATGGAAAGGATTAATATTGCAGTAAAAACAATATTAATCTAAAAATACCTTAATAAATAAAATATTTATAATTTCCAAACTTTTATTAATATAAAATGTACTATTTTCCCAATCTATGTGATCTTTTTCTAATATAGATCTACTCTATTTTTTCATATAAGGATTTTTTAAGTTTTGTAAATTTAGAATATATATAGGGAAAAAAAATCATATCAATAATAATATATTTCTTATAGTATAACATGTCACAGAATATGTCTAAAATCTTATCACAAAGTACCTTTTTATTTATAATTGTCATTATTGTATGTTAAAAGATACCGATTATATTAAATCTTTTATTTTAAGTAATTACTATATTAATGAATTGAAGATAGTTATTATGTGAGTAAAAGATCTTTTTAAAATAGTTTTTTTTTTTTTTTTAAATAAGTAAATTAAGGACACACTAAAAAATGACACGTGTCATTGTTGGTGTGTCTTTTAGTATATAGTTATTGATTGAACTTCATAATCATTAACACAACCCTTATATTTTGAGGGGTTTGTCTATCTACGTATTATAAATTTATAATGGTAGTTTGACTTTGATTTTATACACGGTAAGTTTCATTTCACCATATAAAAATAACTAGATAAGTTTCATGTCCGATCAAAGTAGAAACAAATTAGTAAAACAGATGAGATACCATATGCTTAGGATAAATAATGTATTTTAGATTTAGAAGAATAGCTTGTTTTTCTAAATTTGCTTAAATTTTCCTAATTTTCTTTTTTTGTTTTTCTGTTTGTTTCAAATGAATACTACAAAAACTTTTACCTACATATTTTGGCAATTTTAATTTTCCAAAGTAATTTCACCAGCCAAGAAAATTCATTTCTCCATTGATTCCAAATTCATAAAACGATTATACTTGGAATAAAAAGATTATCTCACTTTTTTTTTTTTTTTTTTTGAACTGGAATAAAAACGATTATAATTGGAATAAAAAGATTATCTCACTTGATTCAACAAAATAAACGAAAAAATGTGTCCAACTTTTCTAACCGATTGGTCTTTTTCAATCCAATTTTAGCAAGCTAATCAACGTTTAATGTGTGATTTACCTGTTTCTAAATTTATAACCTTACTATCCATGTTCGATGAGACATGGGTAAAGAGGAGCTATTGATAGGTTGGGTTGATAAACCAGTGATAATTACTTACAATAGACTACCAAGTATTGCATATCAGATTGGTTATCAACAAAAATTATCCCTTCAAAGTAACAAACCCGAAATAAGTTGAAGAATTCACAGGCAACTATTGTTTTTGCTAGGAAATGCAACATTTATCTCCCCTCAGGATAGGGAATACTGTCTCACAACTCCTACCCAGTCTAGTCTATTCACCTTCAGCCATGTTTCTGCTTGAAGTTTACTCGTAACCAAAATTGCAAGCTGATATACGGAGTACAATTTTCAGAGAAGAACCCACTTTATTTATGGACTTGCTAAAAGCTTTTATTAAAAGCCGAGTATAACAAATTGAAGAAAATACACCATCACCAAGCACAAAGCAAGAAAATGTGAATAAGTAGATGAATAAATTTTACAAAGGCCATCTCTCCCTCTGGCCATAGTTAATAATGATACACAAAATAGCAGAAATTTCAACTTTCAACTCGCAAAGCCGACCTTCCTCTTTGTTTGACAATCTTTGAACACCATGGGAATCGACATCCTAGTACGAATGTTGCTATGCTACAAAAGGGGTTGTTCATGCGAACAGTTTATCAAGACTCTTGAGGAACCTCAAACCTTGAAGGAGTATCAATGCCCATCATACAGCAGAGCCCCGAGATTAATATTATAAGCAGGACTATAGCCTGAAATTAGAAGGGAATTTTTTTTTATCAGCAAACAAAGATTTAGCACAAGAAAGCAAGTCAGTTGAATCTTCAGCTATGACTAGTACAAGTATTCTCTTGACCTCTCCCTGAATCTTAGATTTAGTTTGTCCAGAAGTATAGCAATCACTTCATAATGAAGCTCGAATTTCAAAATTATGATGGCACCAAGCATTTTTCTCTGAAAATAAAAAAGATGACACTGACTTCTACTCACTTTCTCACCATCCGATACTCAAGTTTCTTAAAAAAAATATACCAGCAGAACAGCTATGAGAATTCATAGCTGGCTATCTGAAGTCTTACACAGCTTTCCCTGTTAAGCTAGGAAGTGTCCAAGTTTCATGGATATCTAATCATTTTTCTTATCATTGCTGATATAATAAAAGAGCAGCCACAAGTGGTGAATTAGGAGACACATACATAAAAGACAAAAGGTGGCAGAGGTAAAGCAGGAGCAAGTGAACACATATCATAGTTTCATCAAGCAAAACTGGTGAAGAAGACTTACAACAAAAACTGCCTCTAGAAGGGTCTTTTTAATTTGGCAAACCCCGTCACAGAAAACGGTAGAATTCAAAGAAGCATTTCCAGGAGTCTCAGCAAGCAACCTTCCTGTTTGATGGCTGGATGGATACTGAATGGGGTTATATGGATCAGAAACATAAAGGACGGTGTACTTTGCTCCAGAATGGTCCAATGAACTAATCAACTCCGAAAAATATTGACCTGAAATGTTGATACACTTTAGACCTTCCAGATAATGAAAATTTAGAATGCACAAGTAACCATACAAGAATAAAATTATATATATATATATATATATATAAATTAAGCATATTATTTCAAAGAATACCTTCAGAATGCAGCTTGTCAAGATTTTTCAATGAGCTGAAGCCTCCACGACAAACCACAAGCAAATCAGTTTGTTCCTTGGTTCCTTTCTCCATTGTTGCCACATACTCCTGCAAATTGATCAAGTTGGGAATACGTTTTAACAGAATTGAAGTAATACTACCAAGTGCCAATTTAGCAGGTTAGAAAGATAAACCTACCTCCACCGAGTGCATGTCTGCAAGTTTGGAATACCCTTTGTCCTCTACCAAGCAAGAATCAGTGACAATAACATTGCCAACTCTCATTTTATGGCCACAAGATTCTTCAAACTCTTCAATCAAAGAATTTTCAAAGGTCTCCTCCTTTACCATTGATGACACATAAGGATACGCCATTGAGAAATTGGACTGGGTGAAGGAGTCCTATTTTATATATAATAAAAAGAAAATGAATTACCATGAGAAACGGAATATCACAACGATTCTAATATGATGTCAAGATTTAATTTAATAAATTAGATTTCAATATTACCTTGAGCAAACCCACAAGCGAAGCATCACTCAAACTGTTTCCAGTTATACCTGATGATTCCAACTACAGATTGAAGGACATTATAATCAGCGACGTTTAAACATAAACTAGTGTGTGACCCGGGCTTTGCCCCGGGTGATACTTTGAATAATTTCATTTTTATATTAGACGCTTTAAAAGACTTATTAATTTGTTTAACGTGGGTAAATTAGAATACAATGACAACAATAATTTATTCTACATTCTAATACATGTATGTATTTATATATAAATTTGGATTTATAGAGTATGAATAAATTCTAGTCAAGATGGTAATACATATGGTTTCCATTCAATGAGGTTTGGGGTTCAAATCTCTTTGCATACATTTTTAACTAAGATCATTGGATGATGACGTGGCATGAACCTAAAAGTTGTTGAATGATGATGTGCATTATACTGGTGTAAAAAGGGATACACGTGGCACATACACAAATTTATGAACACCTTTTGATATATAGTATAGATTACACCAGCTAAAAACAGATTAATACTTTTTCCTTTTTTGGGGGGGGTGGGGGGTGGGGTAATGGGGAGTGCAGGAAGCTGTATAGTTTGTACTAGATGATTGCAACGAGAACACATCAAAACCCCATAAACAAGAAAGTAAGAAACACTATCTGCCTAAGCCCAAAAAATAGTATTTCTCTGTTTTTTTATTTCCCAAGTGACAAAGGCTATGGTTGCCAGACAACAGATTCATACCTTGTACACCTCAACTCTGATGCGAGAATGTATATCATGCTTACTAGGCAATGACATGAATCTGATTCTTAATTTCTTATTTACTCACAAAACTCAAAGGAGTTATAATAACATTCAACTTAAGCCAATGTCTCATATTCTGAAGTTAATGAAACCAAACCCACTTCCACAGCCAATACTTCGAGGTTTATTTTTTGCCTCAGCCGTGTGGGTAATAACATTCTGTGCTTATATGGTTAGTTTTGATGTCAAAGCCATGCCAGACAACAGATGTAACTATGTAAGGACTAGGGAAGCAGTTCCTATGTGTAAAATCAGGCAGCTGTCAGAAAGATAGATCAATAATAAAGCAATTTGAATCAACCCAATGTCCCAATACCTCTTTTCCAACAAAAACTACGGCAATGTCAACTGGTTGATGAGATTGTTTGCCCTCGCACTGCAGCAACAAAACCAACATAAGAATCCAAACAACTCCAAGAACAAGTGGCGATGGTTGCACGAGGGAAATAGTTATATCACTATAAAGTGCCTACAGCAAAAGAGATACCAGTATGTTTGACCAGCCACCCGCGGACATGACAGACCTTGCTAAATCTCTTGAGGAAAGTGTTTGATAGTTCACCTTTTCAGTCAACTCCCTATTTGAATGCATAAATACAACACAATATAAGGATAGGGAAAACAGTAACTATTACCAAACAAAAAAGCATATCAACCCCCTGTTCTTTTCAAGAGGTAATTCGAAAATTATTATTGAAAAAGATTATAATCAACAACTGACCACAAAAAAAAAAAAACCTGAAAAAATGGCTTACAAAATAAAGCAAGTCCAATGGTTCAAAAGCAAGCACCAAAAAAAAAGTAGCATTCAGAAAATTTTATTTGATAAAAATTAGAATACCAAAAAATCAGAAAGATGGGAAAAATTTTATAAGACAAAATTCTTCAATATACTCACAACACTCAAATCAAGATGCATTTTCAACCCTTGAACAGGTGTGCTCCTTAAAAAGACAACATAAATTCTCTTCATGTCAAAATTATAGACAAATGCTAAAAAATAAAAAAAATAAAAAATAAAAAAAGGCAAAATGTCACACAAAACTGCTCTGGCAAAATCATTCATTTTCAGAAATACAATTATAATTCGTGACTAAAGTAAGACACAGCATCACACAAACAAAGTATAGCACTAGTATTTCAATATGGGATGTTACAATCTTCAAAAAATACACATCAACTATGAGTGTATAACATATCCATACATGTCGATGTGAGGAGACCACATGAATGCAGGGCCTGTTGTTTCCAACGTCAAGACAGAGCACAGTTGGGATATGATGACCATAATTGTAAGCATTGTCCGTCCATACTTCTTCATCTTCACCACTCTGCGCTCAATGTAACAGACCTTAATCAGCCTCAAAAGCAATTGCAAAAAGTTCATACGAAAGATTTGACAACACTCAAAACAGTGTATCAATAGTCAAATACTTCTGATTGAACCTAAAATAGTGGTTCAACAAATTATAGTATTTAACTACCATGAATTCATAACAGAAAAAAAAAAAAAATCAGAAGCCACAATAATGGCATACCACTTGATCTTCCAAATTCAAAACTATTACTGCCATTACCATATAGATAACTATACTCGAGACCTCACTCAAAATAAGTTCAGATTTCGTTACAGAATTACATCTGATCGTTAATTTCACCATTAGTGCAAATAAGCAACATTATCTAAATTAGATAATAACAAGTATGAATTAACATCAATTAACATGATCTAAACTGTTTCAATTAATCAATAGTCAAATTATAATCATCGAATCGATCAAATCAGGGTACAAAATCGAATCAAGCTAAAAATCCTTTTAAAAAAACAATAATTGCTTACAAATTCCAGAAATTGTGATCAAAGCACTAACGCGCGAAATCAGAAGATGAAAGAAAAAGTAACAAAACCCTAATTGAATAACTGAAGCTCGAAAATAACAAATAGAGCATCGATAATTCAAAAATAAACCCTAATTTACAGACGAAGGAGAAGAAATTGGTAACTGAAAGATGATTGAAATTGATAATCGTACCTAATTGAATCGAGTTGGCAATGAATTTGGCGAAAGGATGTTGAAATCAATGAGATCAGTCGTGCAAATAACAATGAAAGCTGATTAGAGAGAGAAATAGTCTTCTGACCTCTAGTTTCCTTTGTAATTTGTATCTTTGTTTTCTTCTGTTGCCTCTTTCACCCTCTATTTTTTACAACTCTATCTTTCTCTCTCCTTAAATTTTAATTTTTTAATACGATGTATAATTGTACCGTATAATAAGTATAGTAGAAGGTATACGTATATAATCATACCGATTGAACATAAGAAAATTGCCCTCGCACCCAACAATCCAAAGCGTGTGGCATGTGTGCTATTTGTTTTTGCATATTTTCATGTATTCCTCTTTTGGAGTAATTAGATATGGTCGGACATTCTGAAACTTGTGTGATAGTATTAATGATTTGTAATGTTACGAGAAATATAAGCAAAAAAATTAAATTTTGGATTAGTAATAATCATTTATCTTTATATTATGATCTATAAACAATTGCCATCTAAACTCAAAATATAAGTACAAGCCTACATGTGAATAAACTGCATGTTTAGTTACTCAAAAAATTTATAAAACAAGGTAAAAGTAGGCTCAAATTAAAAACAAGTCTTTTTAACCCTGTCAAATGTAGTTGGCAAAGATAAAATCAATATGAGAACCTGGATTGTTAACTAATAAATAAACAAAACCAAGATATTTATGATCAATGTTGAGTTCCACAATTCAATTAATCTAAGGTCCATTTGTTCATTGATAAAATATCATGCATCCAAAATTCCAAACACCAATTCTAACATGCATCACTTGAAATATAATTGACTTTTACTTCCTACGAGATTCAAGGATCAATAACTTTAAAAAATAAATCTAAGACATTAGGAACAGACAATAGCTCAAAAACAATTTTGAAGTGAGTAAATTTGCAAAGGAATCTGTAGAGAATTTAGGGCATGCTAATCACTAGAAAGTTTTTACAAGGCTTTGATCTTCTGATTGTTACATCAAAGGATTTAAAGCCAAGTTCTTCTCCACAAGTTTCCTTCAATCAAATCAGAGATCTGAATATACAAAGAGATACTTGGAGATTATGGAGAATTAACTGTGCCAGCAGTTCATCTACCAGACTCGTAAAAAAGAAGCACCCAGCACCTATATAACTGAAAACCATTTCGCATTCCATCCAGGGGCCAACTATTTACATTGGCAGTTAATCTTGTATAGAAAAATTTACAATGTTTTCAACCTAAATACAAGATAATATGAAAACTTCGCATTTTGAACATGAAACCCCCTTCAGCTATAGTTATAAACACACATTATCTTCAATCTCATGTCTGTTGGTATCCTGGCTTATGTCACGCAACATCCCACAGAACGCCTGACTTCCATGGTAATCGGAGCCCGTGTTTTGATGTTCCTCAAGCCTTTGCATTCCGGCATTGGCATCTATCTGCAAATACTGCCATAAATCATCTCAAGTGCAGCCTTATGCAGTTATGCTGACCCCCAGACTTAGTATGAAGTATCTCTGAGGAAGAAATCAAGAATAATCGGACCCAGTTTCATTCATTATCCAAATAATACATTAAATTGTTCCTTATCTCCTTCGACTATAAAAATGTCCACCGCCTGAATGATGGTGGTACCGATGGCGTGAGTCAGAACCTCTCCCGCTGCTTCCATCCCAAGCGCCACGACTAGGTATTCGGCCAATCCCAGATTGTGTCCAACCCATTATCTGGTTACCAACCCCATTAAGTTCCTCCTCTTCTCTGTCATTGTACTCCAAAACCAATCTCTTTATGTCCTGCTTCTCCTCGAGCTCAGCGGCTTCTTTCTGCTTCGTGCTCCTCACAAGAGAACAATCTTGAGGAATGGACATTTGTTTGGTTTGTTGCTTGTGCCCTCGCTTCACAAGAACTTTTACACGGACCTCTCGGTTTCCGCCATTCTCTTCCTCCAATGTATCCTCCCCACTCTCTCCTTCAAGCCCTCTTCCATGATGATCCTTAGAACTCTCTAATAGGCTCATTGGTATCATCATGTCAAGTGTTGGGCGGGACCGCAGCTCAAGCTTACGGGATTCCAAACTCTCCTGCATAAGAGCTTTGAGCTCCCGATCAAACTCAGATTCTTCCTTTGGATCCCAAGCAGATGCCTTCTGTCTGACATGAATTTCACCATCTTCATCAGAAGCAGGACCGACATCATCATCATCATCCTCTATCTCACTACCTGCGTCGTGATTCTCATCATCCAAGTCATCATCGCCATCATGACCCCCATCACCAATTGAGCCACTGCCTGAATCCGATTCACTATCCCCAATTATATCCTCATGTCCCCCACCATTTTCATCGACACCATTTGCAAGGCCTTGACCATTTACAAGATGGTTTCGAGATATACTGTTTGAACGCTTCTCATTGTCCGAATGCCTTTCACTACTGGCCTTACCTTCATGCTCCTCCAGTTCTGCAAGGGCAGCATTTACTTCTTCAACAGAGGTAAATCGAGACATATTGGGTCGCAGATCAGCAAAGAGATCCTGTGAAATGCAAAATTTTTAACCAAAAATAGAAAGAAATGAAACCTAAACATATACAAAGCATATATCGACCGCTTATGCAAAAAAGAATTCTTCTTCCAATCGCCATAACCAAAAAGAGGAGAATCAATCATGGCTTTAACAAGGCCACAAAGATTAATTACAGGAATTGCAATCGTGAACATTATATAATTTTGAAGCTATTAAACAGCTTTCACCAATAAATGATAATGTCCTATTATATTCATGTCCAGGACCTCATACAGACAGCTAAGTGAAACTGTGAGAGACAAACCTGCAAGTCAAACTCAATATCAAGTGGCAGAACACCCTTGCTCAGACTATATCTCTGGAAATGTATCAAAAATCGATCAAGTTTCCTTCTGGATGAACCTCGATCAAAGTAATGTCCACAGGTCTCAAGAAGTGTAATAACCATTCTAATACGGAAACAATCCTCGGGGGGGTCAAGAACATCTTGCTGATAGGAAGAAAAAAATCCAATTAGGAATGACAGTTGTACTAGGGGAAAAAAAAGGAAAAACAGAAAAGAAAGATAAGAGACTTCATGATTAAAAAAAAATGCATATACTGAAGGTCTAGGGTATGTCATCTAAGGAATTTCGTGGATGAAAAATTCAAATTGCACGTATAGAATTCAAAACACAGCTCAGTCTTCATGACACATATCTCCAATTCTCCAATTATCTTGTAATTTTTCATTACAAAAAAAGATGGTGAGTGATTTTGGCAAGACCTAGGCTCAAGTCACGATGGGACAACATTGCCGCGGACCAAGGCTCGTTCAGTAAAAGGAAGGCAGAAAATAGGGATGGCAGGTGGGTATTAAAATGCGGGTCCCGCACCGCACCCGCCCTAGTTGGAGCGGGTATGGGTCTAACTTAGGCGGGTATGGGTACAAAAGTCATACCCACCGTGGGTAGCGGGTAGGTGGTGGATTTGATGCCATACCCGCCTATTACCCGTCTACCCATCCAGTTACCCGCCAGTTACCCGCCAACTTATTACTACTTTTATTTTTTTATCACAAATTGATTACTACCTTGTATAATATGCTATTAAAATATTTAGATATGGCAAAATGACATATTTATAGAAAATTTATGAAACAAATGTTGTTAGGTCGGCGAGTAAAAAGCAGGTGGTGGATATGCACATGGGTGGGGTGGATCTAGGTTTCTACCCACATAGGCGGGTGTGGGTGTTAAAATTTTACCCGCCGCGGGTAGCGGGTAGGTGGCGGGTATAAAAAATTTTGGCGGGTGCGGGTATGGGGGAGGGGTTACCCGCACCGCCAAATTGCCATCCCTAGCAGAAAATATACTTGACCAAATAAAAAAAAATCGATTAAAGCATGACCATGTGGCCTCAAGTCACGATGGGACAACATTGACGAGAGCCAAGGCTCATTAAGTAAAAGGAAAGCAGCAACTATCTTGAACAACTATACATACTATAATCACTCTCGTCAGTATCATGAGGCATCATATTTCATAAAAGAAGAGTGACCTCAAGGAGAAGTACAGTTTAATACCTCAGCAGTACCATGGCCAAAAACAAGAATCAAGTACAGTGTCTCAAAGATAACAGACGAGTCCACATGCTCATAGTTATATAGCTCCCCTAAGAAACGCATGTGTGCAAGTCGTCGTTGCTGCATAGTAAAGTCATTCAACTCTAGTCCCAATCTGATCTCCTCCAAAACCTGAAATCAAATTAGCAAACATCACACAACTCACTAGAGGACACATGGATAACACCTCTTTAGAAGATTCAACCAACAAAGTTTGCTGCCTAGCAAAAAAAAAGGGGGGGGGGGGTAAAATACTGAAATAAAAAGGGATATAAAAGATAAAAACTACAATTAGCAACTTAAAAAACTCCAAACTGTTGTGCAGGTCAACGAATTGAATCTTTTGGCCTAACCCCGAAAAAGGACACTCATGCTAGGTGAAAACTTATACAAAGTATTACGTGTTAGGAGGCCCTACAATTACCCATTTAGCTTCACTCAACACAAAATTCTGAACTCGTTGTTAGCATCTTGTACAGTAGTATATTAATCAATAAATCTTGACCAAATTACCCCCCCCCCCCCCCCCACCAAAAAAAAAAAAAAAAAAAAAAAAACTGCAATAATAAGAATTACAAGATTTCATAGGTTCAACATAAATAGCAGAAAACAAAGACAGGAAAAAAACTATGAAATTCGATACTGCAGAAGATATTATGAAGATGATGCCAAATGCTAGCCCAGAAATTAATCACTAAAAAACCCTACCTCGTCAACAACAGCAACGGCAAAATCATCATGGTAGCGACTTAGTCCAGCAGTCAGTGATGCAATAAGGTGAATTTGTCCATATTTTCCCCGATGAACCTTCAAAAAGCATTTCAGAAGATATGGCTCACATTCACTCCATGGCAATTTCCGAAGTTGTCTAAGCACATGCTCAATGGAGGACTTGTCAAGATCTGAGAAGAGCATTTTTCGAATATACTGCAGATAACATAAAGCATGTTATGTTTTAATACCAAGACCATTAACACTGGCAAACACAAAAGTAAAAAATAACCGAATATAGATCAAACCTGATGCAAGGGCGGGCGAACTTTAGTGATTCTGGCAGATCTCTCTGGAGGTTTGCATAGATAATATGCATTTTCAACAAGAGTGCTATGACGAGGGTCCAGATTCTTCACATTTTTCAGCCGCATCAGAATCTCCAACATGTTAGCCATGCGCATTGTGGTTTCAGGAGAACGATACAAGAACCGCCCACATGTCTCCAGAAGATTGCAAGCCACATCTATATTATGATGGGTAAATTCATCCAAGCAAGCCTGGACCAACAACAAATGCCATCTTTTCATAAGTAAAAACAGAAAACGACATAAGCTCTAGATAGATATCATCTGCAGAATCTACACTCAATCAGAAAATATAACTTATCCATTGCTCAAGTTTTACAAACTACAATAGCAAATATTTATCATTTCCACACCCTGAGGATTTACAAAGTTGCGTTCAGAACCCTAAGATTTGAAAAAACATATCATGCACAACAGTCAAAAGAGGTCATGAACCAGAACACCCTCTCACCCATCCAATGGGTCAATAGACCAACACATCCCTCGGATTCTCGGAAGGCCTGAATGTTATTAAAAAAAATTTTGAAATAACATATGGAGCTATAACTTTGACTGTGTTTAAATAAGAAAATTTGGAGGGAAGAGAAAAGGAGTAATTATTTTCTCCTTTTTAATTATGACATGAAGAAGGGAAAGGAAGTGAACAAAAGATTCAAAGCACCACACTCCTTCCCCTCTTAATAAACCAAATCCTTCGACTTGAAAGAAACATAAAAGCTCCCTTCATCCCTCCCCTTCCCTCTATGATTGATATCTAAACAATGTGATAGACCTGAGATGCATGTATACTAACTAGTAACTACCAAGGTTGTCAGAAATTCAGGATCAAGATCCTACTTCCAATGAAAGTATACCCAGCAGTAGACTGTGGGATCCGAAAAAAATGAATCAAAGATCGAATTAATACCATAGACCAACAGCTGTTATCATTATCATAATAATGATAAATGTTCGGAATATTTAGGCAAAAGACATCTAAATAGCATAAATTAAGACAAAAGCCATCTAATAAGGATAAAACTAAATTATAAGTCATAATATTATGCTACTAGCTGATCAACATCACTATTGCACCTAATCCAACAAAACAAGAAAGCCAAACATCATCTAAGATTGTTTTACTCTTTGTCAAACTTCCACTGTGAATAATCAGTCTCCAATTTTGCAAATACCAAAGTTTTAAAAATTTAAAAATTATGAACTGTATTGTACAACCCAATAGATCTGGATAGTAACCCTAACAACTAAAGGTGATAATAAATCCATAGTTGCTCATATACTTGTAATACAGAGCTTGCAGCTCAGTGCAACTAATTTTTGCAATACCGTTAAGTAGTAGAGACTATAGAATATAGACAATAATCGTCATCTCTAACAAATATGAAACATTACAATAATAAACTGCAATCACAGTTACTATGTACCACATTACCACCTAACAAACAACCTCAAGCTGGAAAAAACTTCATATACCACAAAAGTACCTTTAAGCAGCTAAATACAAGTGCAGCTGGTGCAATTTTAAATTTGCACAGTTCCCCAATGAATCGGATATTCCTGATCTTTGTTTCAATGTTCATTTGATCCTGGGGTAGGTAATGTACAATAAGAGAATTTTAATTTTCAGTACAAAGATGGGAAGGGGAAAAAACAAGCTAACCATGCAACTGAATGCACATAGGAACTAGAGAATAACCTTCTTATTAATCAAGTAATTGAACTCCTCTTCCAACATCTGAAGGAGCATTGAAGAAATATCCTTCATACAAGTAGACAATGTGGCAACCATTCGAGAGTAATACGGAAGCAACTCTAAGGAGGTTCGGGGGACATTGAACAGTGCCCTCACAAGCTTTTTCCGATTACTCTTTGAGTTCAAATAGCAAAATTCTACCTGAAAAACAAACAATCAAACATATATTTTTATTCAGAGGCCATCCAAGATGTAAAATAAGAGTTGAAAACGAAAAACTTCATCAAATCTTTAAAGCAGCGCAATACATACAGTTAATTGATCAATAAGATCACGGCTGACAGAACCTGGAAGCCGCTGTAGCAAAGTTTCCAAATTGGTACCGTCAAGACCTTTGTGTTTTTCCTTTTCTTTATCTCCTTTCTTATCTGCATCTTTATCTTTTCCTCTCTCTTTGTCAACTTCTTTATTCTTCTCTTTCTCCTCTTTATCTTTTCCCTTCCCTTCTTTATCCTTCCCTTTCTCCTCTTTATCTTTTCCCATTCCTTCTTTATCCTTCCCTTTCTCAATTGTTTTACCATCCTGCAATGTTGGAGAATCTACAGAGGATTCAACATTATCCTCAATGGCTATGTGGCACTGATCAGGTTCTGAGGCAGCATCCTGATTATAAAACAATCAAGTCATTAAATGGACATTAAAAAATTAGATGCAGACATTATAAAATGCATAGATTCTTGAGTTCATAGACACATTTACATGTATCATCAAAGATGGACTTAGCAGTTTAAGACCCTATGAGATGATAACCAAAATTCTTCCTTACCCATGACTTTTGGATTCTAATTTCTTTATCCCTCACCCATTAACTCTTAGCAAACTCCTAAAAATATCATCAACAACAGTGAAGAGAACAGAACAAGAGGCTGACTTGGATCATGTTTGCATCGACCAAAAAGAAAGACGTGACCAATCAATTAACTTTTGATATCTAATCAGTAGATTTTCAAAGATCATCATTTCATACAGTAACAGATAAATGACAATGTAGAAGGCCTTTTTTTAAGTCTTATACTCTACCAAGAAAATCCAAGAGTACTGCATTAAGGGATCTACCTCCATCACATAATTCACAACATTAACATTAGCCCAACATCTAGTAAACACAACATCAACAACAAAAGTCAAGTTGAGGGTTAAAGACTTGTTTGGACTATAGCACAAATTAGAAATCAAGTCACATTAGCTAACATTACAGAATCACTTACATCTGATAATAAAATCAACAATCAAGGATTATGCATTACTAAAATAACAGAATCACTTACAGATGACTGGTCTTGCGCCTTTGCATGTTGCTCACTGGATTTGGAATCAGCTTCCCCCAATAAAACTGCGGGAACAAATGCTCTGGAAACAAATAAAAAAAAATTAATCATTCAATGATTGTATGTCTTCTAATCAAAAGCACTAGCTAAAAAGAGCATCAACCATCTAATTCTAATATTGCACCCCTGTTTCTTTAGGGTGTTCCCTGTGGAAAGAGAATGCCCCCAAACAGACAACTAAATCAACTAGTTCAAATGTAGAAAAAGATAATCAAAAATCAAACCTAAGATCAGGCAAACACTCATAGAAAGCTCTTGTATCTTCATCATCCCACACAGCTTCAGCAGCAGAAGATTCCTTTCCAGCAGAAGAAGAAGAATCATCCCCGCTAGTTACCCTTGTAGTATGACCATCCTCAGGCATCACTGGAGGTTGCATATCAAGGGCTTCAGCTAGACTGACAAGAGCAAAGAACAAAAAAAGTAATCTGAATAAAAATACTTCAATTAAAAAAATAATAATAAATTGACCAATCAAAATATAATCCCTCCATCCCATAGAAAAGTTTGCATCTACTGAAAGTCTGAAAGATGCCCCACATTAAACTATTATAGTACGCATTCTTCTTTTAGCAAGTTTTTTCACTTTACTTGTTCTTGGGCCTTTTACTCTCTACTTTCTCTCTTTAACTTCCATGCCATTTGTCAATAACTTGTCCTAGGGAGTATATAAAGCTAAATGGATTCATATTTTTTTTTAAAAAAAAATGCAAGAAACTTACGATGATACACCCCGATACAAATGGTCATAAGATTTTCGCAGCTTCTCGTATAAAGATGCATTATCATCACTAAGCTCCCCTTTTGCATTCAAAATTTTTGCATTCTCATGCTCCATCTCGCGAAGAGACTGAAGAAGGATTCAATCAAGAATCAACAGAAGTTCCCGGGTGGAGTGGGGGGTTGGTAAGTAATTAACAATCAAAGGGAATTAAGGTGTGACAAACCGTTCAAACAACTTCAGATGAAAAGAAAGAAAACATATTGGAACATTACCTATGAAGTGAAAAGTTTTAGCAGCACACAGCAACTTAACAATTCTCAGCATGAAAAATGGAAAGTAAAATTGGTGAGAGAAATAGGCACATGAAGCTAACACCAAAAGCAAAGTACTCAAGAAAGTAAACGAAGTGAAGGATAGAGAGTAAAAGAGAAAATGCTACTTTCTTACTCCCTTGTAATCATTCCCACTAGACATTTTGTGGCCTTCAAGACAGAACTATAATGAAGAAATTCTCTTAACTTATGCAAAATGTTTTTATCCTAAAATAGTATTTCAAAATTATATAAGAAAATTTTGACATAAGATATAGGCATACAGCATATGAAATCGCCATATTTTACAGGAATCTAACCACACTTTGACTTGGAACAGGTCATTAGAACATTATATGCAGAATAGAGGGAGTATAATATGCGCTTCAAAGCACAATATGATAGTGATATACTATGCCCTCTAACTTCTCAGTACAAAAAAAAAATTGAGAGTAAGCCAATGATAAGAGCACACAATAGATACAGCATCCAAATAATTTTGCACGAACAATGAAACCTCAGAGCAAATACTAAAAAGAACACACATAAAAGTGAAGCTGAATGGAAAACAGATAAAATAGAGGGGGTGGACAGGTATGGAGACTTACAGCATGCTCAGTATGCAGAACTTCAGCAACAGCATCATAATACCCATGAAATGCCTTCTTAAAGATTTTCTTCTGATCAGCAGTGACATTTAGGCCTTTGAAAAACTGTTATAAGATACTAGTGTTCAGAAAAAATGCACCACGGGATTGATAACACTACCGGGAAATTCCAAAAATGTTATTATCGTTATGATAATCTGTTATATGATAGCCCTCTTTTTCCATTTTCCTTTCTGGAGTGGGGGTGTTAGTAAAAGAATAAGTGGGGTGGAAGACCAAAAAAGAGTAGATGTAAGGACCAAGGGTGACATGAACATCAAAACATCAAAAATTGGCTACCTTAGATTACGTAAATCAAACAATCAATAACATAATACTAAAAAAGACACCATGAATGACACATGTCATTTCTTGGTGCTGTTTTTTCCCTCCAAAACTCTCCTCGCCCTTTTTAGCAAAAATCTTTTATTTTTGGAATATTTGTATAATACAACTATAATAATATATTATTCCTAATCTTATATATTACCTTTATATAATTGTATTCCTTTTTATTTCATGTTCTATTTATTTAAAATAGTTAAACATGATTTTGAGACTTTTCAATTAAGGGAAAATAAGCTATAATTTAGAAGGTTGAAATATGGTGGAGGGTATAAAATAACGGAGCCAAAAATACGATATTAACATTTAAATTACCATTATATAGTTGTATAGTAGTGGGGTTCAATGGAATTTTTATTTTTTTTAATTCATGGTGTTGATTTGAAACCTTATGAAATAATAATAATTGAGTTAGTTTTCTGGTAAGTATTTTTGAAATAATTTTACCAACAAACTTTTTTTTTCCTTCCAAAAATATATTAACTATTACAAAAACAGGTCATAATTACCTCGATCATTTTGGACATATGTCAAGCTATCATTTAAAAATTTCTCGCCAATACAATATATGATGTCAGCTTTAAGGGTGGCTTTTTTTTTTAAAAAAAAAAAGTTATTCTACTTAGCTTATTTTTTGGAAGTACATTATATAGTATATATTTTTTTGAACTAAATTAAATCATTAATAAAAAAGCATAAAACATCTACGTTGTATAGTTTTATTAGGAATAACATGCATCGTTAATATAAGATAATGTATACTATGTTTAAATATTTTCAACAAAACTAATCAAAAATAATATATTTTTTCCTCAATTGCAGTTTTAATAATTTTTGCCTTTTTCATCTTTCTTAAATGTATTGTATTTGTTTATTCCACATGAATTGTCTCATTTTTATATTATATCACAAATTAATTATGGAAAAACAGGGCTAATACTACCGTGCATCGCACAGGCACTAATCTAGTTCATATCTAAATAAATCTTTATCATTGATATACCCTAACAGCTTAACTTTACTAACATCAAAAAAATCATAAGATTCTTTCTAATTTTAAGATAAATAGATTTTTAAATCAACCTTCACAACTAGTCAAAAGAGATATCAAATCCATAGCAGTTCTTCATAAAATGAAGTGACTCACTGAAAGCATAATTTTCTGTTTGGCATTGAATATCGACAAAACCACCACCTAGATAGAACTAATTAAGGAGGTCAATTAATGTTCACTTCAATTAACTATACAAATGAATTATGAAAATTTCCAGCAGTACTTCAATGATGTAACTTACAGAACTACAAAAAAGTTCTTTACACAAACTATATGCATAATCACGGACACAGAGAACACAAACAAAAATTAATACATTGGAAAGATGATAATTCAGCATTGCCTTAGCTCTGTTAAGTTTACAATGCACACTACCTTATCTTGCTAGGTCAAAATTTACCACTTTTCCAAGCCAGCTAAAATGTACTCCGCATTTGAAGGGAAACTAACTCAAACAGCATAAGAGAGACATGTAAGCAGCAGTTTTACGTATTTTGAAGTCTCATTGACAAAATTACCTCTTCATTGGCTTCTGGTCCAGATAGTGGAAGGCCCAGGAAAACTCTTCCTTGTCGTGCAAATGTAGCAAGCAAAGACAGATTAGTCTGAGTAGCATCTCGGTCCTTCAGGTGTTCCAAGCTTGTGAGATCTTTAATGATGTTAACAAAAACGCTACTGTCTTCTATGACACCAACAAAGTACAATTCCAAAAGGAGCTTCAAAGAGCTGCGCTTCTTCATGGCTTTTGAATTTTTATCCGTCTCTAGATCTTCTGTTCCTTTCCCAGAAAAAAACACTTTTGATAAGCCCTGGGTCAGGCTCGATGAGAAATCCAGGTATCTTTGGTGAAGCAAAGAACAAATCTGTCAATTGTTGACCATTTCAGATGTCACAAATCAAAAAAAAAAATGAACATGAAGATCTACGTCAAACCCCCTCCCCTCAGCATTTTTCTTCTTTTTCATTCTTCATCCTTCCACTAGGACTAAAACGAGGCGTGACGTATAGAACTATAGACTCTATAGAGGTATCAAAAACAGTTCTATTCAGTCATAAATAAAATATAAAACCTCAACCATAAGACAAGATAAACACAAGTTACTGGACAGAAAGCCCAAAAAAGTTGCAAAGAAAATAACTTTTTCCCATAGAAGACCAGGAAAGGAGTCACAATAAAGGTATTATCTTCCCTAAGTAACTCCTACTGATAAAATAGTCATACAGAATTCCTTTAGAAACATAGACATGGGAAATAGTCCAAGAATCAAATATATGATTCATTAGACAGATAGCAAAGTGGTGAAATATCAAAATTCAAAAGAGCTGACCACATTACTCCAATCTCAAAGCAGTTCGCCAACAGATAATTCATAATAACGACAGTCTACTGATAATGTACAAAAAAACGAAATAAGACAATATATAGGGCAAAGACTGTGTTCGACTCCACAAACTATGCTACCTGAACAGCAGCCTGAATGTCTGAAGTTTTTAGCTTTGCATCACATATAGCTGCCACTGCCTCGGTCACAAATTTACTCAGGTTGACACCTCGCAAGTCATCCATCAACCCTTCACGTTGATCTTCACTTATCTGTTTAAGCTTTTTGATAACTGCAGTGTTACGTTTGATGCTAGAATCCAGCGTCCTCAAAAAAGCAGGATCTAAAAGCAACATGGAACAAAATCAATAGTCACAAGAAGATACCAACAATACCAAAAAGGACACAAGCTTTCAAGTTTCATTAATTCAATATACGAACGAATTCACTACTCATTAGATAGAAAAAATTAACCCCTCCAAACGAAAAAATAAGCCAACTAAACTATAACGAAGTGTGTTAAAAAGCTGTCATAGTTTCAAAAATAATAATGATCACTAAACGTAGTTCCCAAATAATTTTATTTTTAAAATTTATGGGCCTCAGATCAATGATTTAGGTCTTTGCTTCTACATAATGAACAGCTGGGTACAAATCCAATTCTACTCCAAAAAAAAAAAAAAAAAAAAAAAAAAAAAAAAAAAAAAAACGGGATATAAAAACATAATTCGTATCACATAAAAGTACAGCAGCTAGAGCTCAACATTCCACACAAATTCCAGACTAATCTCCATTATATGCCCCCAAGTTCCAGGAACCTATCCCCTTAATTACCTATCCACCATCATTTCCCAAACAACAAATGACATTTTCCTATTCGATTGGCAAGTGTTTGCAGTCATTCAATTAACAAGAGAACAATTTCATAAAGAGCAAAGGCAAAACCAGAAAGTTCTCGTTCACTAACCAGGTCTTTCGGGCTTCAAGTTACTTTGCCGAAGAGCCAATTTTGCGTCTATCGATTTCTTTAATTCTTCAACACGGGCAACGGCTTCCTGCATCCCAAGGGAATAAATGTTTTTTCAGGAGCACTAACAAATAATCTTTCCACTAATATTGCGAACAGGAAAAATCATGATGGTACCATATAATACATACTAATATATCAAACAAAACCAAACAAACAACATATTATAGCCTATTTGCCATGAATCCCATCACACCCAAAACACAATAAAAGAAAATTATAAATAAATTAGATTCGTAAGTATATGGCATTGATATATATCAAACAAAAATTACTATTAAAACTTTTAGTGAACATCAAATTTCGAACTACAAACCCCCAAAAAACTAAGAAGAAATTTTTCAAAAAGAAATACCTCGTCATCATGTTTGTCATGATTTTCACCAGAAGAATGGCATTCCTGTTGTGATTGTTGATCCATTTTTTCCGTCATATTATCTGTGTAAACGAGGACTGAAAACACAAATTTATAGGAGAAAAATTAAACAAACATAAACCCTAATTAAAAAGGGGATAGAGAAATTCACCAAATTAAAATCGCGGGATTAGTGGAATCAAAAGAGTTTTGTATCGAATAAATGAATAGCGGTAACAGACAAAGGTTACGACAAAATTAAGATGTTAATTTTGCATTCAGGAGTGTAAATTGGGGAAAACTAAAACCCTAAATTGCATCAAATAGAGAAAATAAAGGGAAAAATGTTCGAAATAAAGGAAGACATTATTACGCAGAGAAGAGAGAGGTCTTTACACAGTTATAGACTATACAAAGGTCAATTGCTTGACTTTTAGCCAAACGTCGTCGTGAAATGGTAACTTTTAGCAAAACGTCGTCGTGAAATGATGTTTGACGAATTGACGGTGGATGGGTGAACCGCCTCAATCTCGGGTTCTCATTCATAAACTCGTACGAAGTGATCTAGTTATTATGGGTCAAACTTGCTTTTAAAACAAAAAAATCGGTCAATTTCTTAGGCATATTCGATAGTGGTCATACGCAATTTCTATCTTACTCCCGGAGTATCGTGAGTATGGTATTTCGGAGTTAAAATGACGTCGTTTTTAGGTTGGGCAATACGTATATAGTCAGCCTCTTCTATTATCCCCTCCTTCTCGATTTTCTCCCTTTTCTTCTTGATATACTTTGTTTCCCTCTAATTTCTAAGATGATTTTGCGCAATTTGTTTGGTATCGAGGTCGATGATGCTCATTGTAGTGGTACTGAATCTGCTCTTGTGTGATTTTGATGCGAAAATCATTACAGATCTAAAATAACGTTTATTAGTTCTAAAATAATATAATCTATTTATAAAATAACAATTATTAGTTTTTAAATAATATAATCAGAAATAACATTTGTTAGTTCTAAAATAATATTTTTAGTTATAAAAATAGTATGCTTCTATTTGTAAAATAACACTTATTTTTAAAATCATAAAATCTGAAATAACATTGAGTAGTTCAAAAATAATATGATCAATAACAATAAATAACATGTTTAGTAAATAGAATAATATATACCCTTAACAAAGTTAATGGACTTGAACTACTTGCTGCTTCAGTGGAATAATATATAACATGTCTTCGATGGATGCAATTGAAGAATTTTCAACCGTTTCAAATCGTGAAATACAGAGAGAAAAAAGAAGAGTGATAGTGGAGAGTGAAATGAGGATAGTGAAATGAATTTATCTGATTTTCGTCAGTTTTTTTTTTTTCTTATTTATATATATATATTAGATTGGGCCTGGAGTACGGAGTACAATACTAGGTACTCCAGGAATACTTAATACTAATTGGTGATCATGGGTTGAACTTGCTTTTAGACCAAAAAAAAGTCAATTAATTTCAGGCATACTTAATAGTCATCAAAGGTCGAACTTGCCTTAAGATCTAAAAAAATGACAGTCAATTACATAAATATCCTTGATAATCGATAACAATTGGCTTTAAAAAAGGCAAAATACATACTTAAAAAATATACTTGTAAGTTGTACGGAGTAATAATTATGCGGATTAAATATTAAAGTCAAGCTGAAAAATTTACACATGCAAACTCTCTCAAAGTCTCAGTCACCAAAAAAATTCGATTCAGATTTCGATTGATATGGGCACATTAATTTATCATGACTTAAGTTTCAAATTAGGCCTCGTTCACTTCACTTTATTTTTGCTGAATTGAAATTATTTTTACTGAACTGAAATTATTTTTGCTGAACTAAAATTATATTTAATGAACTGAAATTATTTTTGTAGAACTTAAATTATTTATACAAAACTGAAATTAATATTACTGAACTGAAATTATTTTTTACTGATTTTCAATTATATTTCTTCTTTATAGTTACTGAATTTTACTGAAATGAAATTATTTTTACTGAATTAAAATTATTTTTACTTAATATATTTTTTTAAGGTGGAATAAACAAGGTCTTAAGTCCGATCTCATCAAATCCGATCGAACACCTAAATTGACACCTCCAGTTAGGAGTGTTAGAACTTAAAAGTGGGTTAAAGGTAAATTGGGCGCAAAAGTAATACAGAGTACAGTTTTAAAATTACAGTAACATCGTTGATTAAACATTTTAATCAATCAATAGTATAGTATTCTAGTGCTTAGTTAAATGGTATCAAACCTTAAGGTTACTCTGCAACAATGGCGTCCCCTCTATTCCCACTTCTCTTTCCTACCTTCTCTCTCTCTCAGCTCCACCTCCCTAAGGTCCCTCTTTCTCCTTTCACACTTTTTTTTTCTAGGTTGTTTCAATCAAATGAATTGTCTCACTATTTTTCATTTCTGATGATATCTTATTCTTCTTATTTTCAGGGGCAGATTTCTTGCTGATTCATTTGCAGCTAATTCAACATTATCCCGTGAATCTTTATTTGGGGTTTCTCATCCCCCATCATTCTATTTCCAAGGTTAATTAACTTCATTATTTCTTATATTTTTGGTTTTTTTTGTTTTGTATTTGCTGCACTCTATGTGTTTGTTAAAATTCCTCAATGCATTAGTGATTGAAATACAAGAAAAAGTTGCTTGCTTTGTGTTATTTTTTTAAAGTATTTGTAATTATTGAAAGATTCCTCAGGTTTTGTATCTTGGTTTTGTAACATTGTGTTGGCCAAATCCGCAAATATAACTATAAAAGTATGAAATATTTACTGCTATAAGAACAGACACTGATTTACAAATGTAACAGAAACATGTTAATACGTACTCAGACGCTCAAGAATTGCTGCCAAAGCTTATTTTCTAAAAAGGGGTAAATTTTTGGTAAGTTTTAGTGCCCTGATTATCGATTTTTATCAGTTGCATCAATGATGTGGTCCATTACTCCAATCAACGAAATCGCCCCCTACTTATAAGGTGGCACAACGATTACTGAACAATTTTTGTGTGAGATACAATTATGCACGCTATGTTTGTATTGGTGTATGTTGTCTATTTTACATTAGCTAAATTCATCAGCTTCACTCTGTGGACTCTTGAATCTTGAACTTTTGTTATGTCTACTTTCTATCTGATGAATCATATTGTATATTGTACAAGTGTATAGTCTAAGACTCTAAGCTATATTTGATTACTACATTTGGGTGACAATTGAATCTGAATGGACTCCTTTTGCAGCAAGATCATATGCCCGAGGTGATAGAAAGCAGTATGATCTTTTTGGTCAAGGACCACCAGGGAGTAAAGAATTTAGGAAGGCATGGACAAGGCAACTAGACGAAGAGGACTGTGTATGGACAGCGAGTGAAGATGAGAGCGATTCTGAGAAGAAATCAAGCCCTCTTGAGAAAGAAATTAGGAAAGTGAAGCAGAAAGCGAAAGAGCACTCTGATCGTATAGATGCTGATGACAGTGACGAGCTTTGGAGTGTATGGTCAGGCAGTGATGAGGAGAAAACATTATGGACAGGCAGTGAAGAAGATGATGACGATGATATTCCTACAGAACCTTATCCAAATGAGAAGAGTGATGAGTATATAGATAAGTTATTTGAGTTTGAAGAGACGCCTAAGTATAGAACTCTCTCAGAGCTATTGAAAGCTGAAGATGAACCAGAAGAGTTGTCCCCTGGAAAGAAAGCACGAAAACTTGCAGTTGAGAATGCCCTAAAGAAGTTGAAAAAAGGGCCAGATGGAAGGTACACTAATGTTTGGGAAGTGATGAGTGACATAGATATTCTCATTGGTGCATTTGAAAACATCGTTTCCGGGCCAGAGTATGCTGAACTTAGGCAGGGAGGTCCAAAGCAACTGAACATGCAATTTTTCAAGGACATTCAAGCAAAAATGAGGGATCCCAACTATAAGTTCACTCCAGAACTAAAGTTAAAGCCAAAGAGCAAACTAGTCCGAAGGAAAAAGTGGCAAAAGGCACAATCTAGAAGGCGGAAAGATCAAAAGCGGTAAATGTCTCCGTTTAGTATTCAACTTTTCTTGATTATGCTTGTAGGCTTGTAGGTTACTTTTGTCTCCCTACATAGTCATACATGTGAACATGCTAATGATCAATTTTGTAAAGATATATATATTTGTGTGTAGTGTGTAGACTGTGTACTGCTGTTCAGCCGTGCCACAACTAATTTAATGTGAAGTGAGCCTTACTGTACTTAATTTGGTATCTGAAAGCTTTTTAGAACTTCTGATTTCTGTTTTATGAACACTTCAAATGAAAGTAATTTACAAAATGACTAGATTAAGTTTCTGAAATTCTTGATTCTGTAAACAGCTTTTTATTTGCTTTAATAGTCTAGATGACATAGTACTTTGCCAACTTTGGTACCTTGGGATTGCCCATCATCATGTACTACATACTCGATTATAACACATAACAAATACAAAGTGTTAGCTATATCATAGCTGCAGCACTTGCAGTTTATTACACTGGTGATGTCTCTTCCTCAGCTAACATGTTCTTTTCCTTCCTAAATAGTAGGAGTATCTCCATCTAGTCTCTGGCTGCGTGTACTACAAGGCTATATGGTAATTAATAGCTTAGTACTGATTGTACATGCTGAGATATCCATCTTGCATCTTGCTATTATTGTTCAGGATTGCATGCACACTCTGAGGGTTTGTACTGAGCCACTTATCGTAAAGATTTTGGTTGTATTGGGTTCCCAATAGGTTTTCTACCATCAAGGGTGATGGTTGCTGCTGCTGATATCCATAAACTGCTGGTCCTGCTGGATAGTTTTGGAATCTTTGAAACCGACCCGAGTCAACAGAACCACCCACATCATATCCACGATGATAATGGTCATGATACCTGTTACGCTGACCATGATCTTGATGCCCTTGAATGCCCATCATTGAGATCATGGAACCAATGTCATTTTCATAGTTTCCATCCCCAATTATCCTGTTGCCTAGGGGATCCATATAAAGGTTTGCCCTCTCCTCTGCCTCTTCCAGCTCCAAGTCTTGGTCTACACGCCCTTCAACTCCCCACTCACTGCCGAATGATCCCTCACCATTTAGGTTAGGAATCAATTGGTCCAACGAAACCGCTCTTCTCGAGCGGTTGTTATGGTGATGAATTGGGATCTTGTTTTTGGTTTTGCGTTGAGAGAATGGCTCCTGATTCAAGTCTAGCTGCTGGGACTTTGGAGACCACAGCTCTGCATGTTTGCCTGACCTTGCCAATTTCTTGATCAATGTATCTGGGTCAGCAATCCCTATAACTACGACTCTCTGCTGTTCTGCATCTATGTTTACTGCATAAACCCCTGATTTTAAAATCAAAGACATGTTATTAGTACTAAATGTCTTAACTATTTTACAAGTACCAATAGCCAAATAGTTCAATTAGAAAACCTACTGCAAAATGTTGTTCTCAGAAAGCACACACTGCAAAAAGTTTCTACAGGAGAATCACGGATAGATTTATTACATAAAAATTCAGAATTATATTTAGTTACAAGCATTAGGCATAGCAGAGCTTCTTCTTTCCTCGTTTTCTTCCACTTCCACTTTCACTTTCTCACTTTTGTTTGTTTAGCTTTTTTTTTTTTTTTCCTTTCTCTTTACTTTTCTTGTTTCATTTTTCATGTACGGTTCTTTGTGACGATTCATGTTAGCCAACCCCAAAAATTATTTTGGGACTAAAGTCTTTGTTGTTATGTTGTAACTCTTGTAAGAACTTTTAGTGGGTTTAACAGTTTAGGTATGTTCATTGATTTAAAGTACTAAAATTCATGGCATTACCATAGTGTCGAGTTCACACAAAGGTATTCATATCACAGAAAAAATAAGCTATACTTTGCATTTTGTCATAACAAAAAAAATCAAGGTAAAGTATGTAAATGACACAGTTCAAGTGAAGATGGAGCAGTGGAAAACCTTCAATCTTTTTCAGAACTTTCTTCACTTTTCGACGACAGCCATGGCAATTCACATTCACCTTGAGAACCACAGGCTGTAAACAGAGAGAAGTAAGTAAATCAGTACTTAAGCTAGTTATTACACATAGATCTAATCTATATTAAACAAACAAGAAAAAGAGAAAAACTGGATAATATGATAGCAAAGAAGTTATAAACCTCCATGTTCAGGGATTGGTTTTGAGCAGTAGGCATTCTGAAGATTTCAGACTTATCTTTGCTGTTGAAATGAAAAAACCCTTTGCTTTTCGAAGTTCCCTGTTATAATATATTACTGTATGTTTGTTTTGGACATTTGGCTTCTTTGGCAACATGCATAAATAGTGCATTTTTTGAGAGAGAAAGAGGAGAGAGAGAGAGAAAGAGGTTGTGATTTGACTAAGATCAGAGTAGTTCAGGCATAGATACAGAGACAGACATGCTTCAGAAATTAGGAGTACACCATTTCCTCGTGTAGGTCAAATCAGTCATCTATCCATTGCTCCTGATTTGGTTTTGTTTTGGCTTCACGAGATATTCCAACTCTAGAAAGTACTGCTCTGTGTCCAAAAGATATGATAATGATATACTCTACCTCAACAATCATTTCTTTTTTGCTGTTTTTTGCTACTCCTTATGATGTTCTAAAGAAGTAATTCTTGAGATTATTTAGTTGTTGATCTGGGTTACAAAACTAATGCTTTCGTCTCATTACCATTCGTAATTAGAGGTTATATGGTGCATCTCGACCTACGACGCGAAACCTTTTATTCCCGGCCTCTTGGATTGTTGTTGTGTCGTTAGGGATAACGGTTGGATGCACGTAATAGATTCTGCTCTTGTGTAAATAAAATGGGTGTGTAGATAATTCAGCATTAAGTTAGTGTTTATTTCCCTTTAATACTCATACTCATTTTGAACACATAATTGTATAGAGATACTATGAAATGCGTAATATGCAATGAAGTGGTGGTGCTTCTGTCAACTCAACTATTTTGTTTCAGGATTCCTGACTGAAACAGAGAGCTTTAGCTGTTTAACTAGTCAAATTATTCAGAGATTCCTGATCTTTACAAATGTAGATAGTTGAGTTGAAGACTTTTAAACTTGTGACTTCCAGTTTAAGTTTGCAAGCTCAACATGTTTGCAAATTTACTCTCATACATACTCCTTTCCTAGCAAGCCACCTCATTTTCATAAAAAAAACACTATAAGGTGAAAAGTATACTTCCTTTGTTTTTGTTATTTTTTTTTTTTAAATACAGTACCCAAGTTTATCTGTACATTTGTCAAAGCAAAATTTTGGTTGATAATTTCTTTAATTAAAATAAGTATAAAATATAAAAATTGATTTTCGAATACTATATATTGAAAAGATATTATGATTATGTTTGATCTTATATATAAAGCAAAAACATTGGTCAAAGTGATATACTGTATCAATGTATCCCAAAAAATCAAAATTGAACACTAAAAAAAGGAGGAAGTGGTTTATAACTTGTTAAAAAATGAGCAAACATCTATGAGGGTGGAGTGGTTAACACATCCACACGTATGTTTATTTGGAAGACTTAGAAACTTATTAATTACTTTATCGGCTTAATTAAAAAATTCAATCGCCATAACGAAATAAATTTAAGACAAATACAATACCAAATAGGTATTAAAAAAACTTAAAAAAAAAATTTAAAAGGTTAAATTAAATAAAAATTATCTTATGATTTTAAGGATTTTATCTAGTTATATATTGGACGAATGTAAATCCCAAATAATATACAACACCTTAGGTTAGAAAAAAATATAGTATTACAGTTATAATCATTAATTCAACATATTAATTGTGGAATTTCAACTGGTACATACGTGACAACTACATCTGAACGAAAGTACGTATTACATAAAATTCTTTACATAATGGAACAAGCATCAGTATTATCATCACTAAAAAATGTAGAAATGTTATCTTGAGGTCCATTGTAAGAAGGGTAAGCTTGAGGAACATCTTTAACATAACCAGCAGGTGCCCTCTTATCATAGGCTCCAACAACATAAGGATATGCTACTAAATTATGCTCAATGTAGGGCCAAAATTCAGCTCGTTTCTTTCCAGTGTCCTTCACTTTCTTTAGTACTTTGTTTGGATCCACATGCCCACTTACTGTCACCTTGCTCTGCTTCCTTATTACTTCTACTGATCTGACTCCTACATTAATATGTCACATTAAGAGCAGTGATGTAAACGAGATATTGTATAAAAATTGTCACGATATTCATCAGAGTTATATGTGGAACGTAACCATACATGATTTAGTCTCATGAAAAGGAGTTACATGGGAAAATGTTTAACAATTATGGAATACATCTGTATATGTATAACAAGAGAAAATAGGAAGAATTCAAAGAGAAGGATGGTTTATGAAGAGAAGAGAAGAGAACCTTTGAGATTGGTGACAGCACTTCTTATTCTTCTTTCACAGCCATCACAATCCATTTTGACTTTGATCTCAACTGTCTTATGACAAGAAAAAACAACACCAAAATCTCATCTATAGTGTACTAGTTATACTTCATATCACATACTAACTCCATCCAGATTTAAAAGTCACGATAACGAGTATATATAATTACACTGTATGTGTACGTGACTATTAATTCTGGACAGAGGGTTTGATTAAGCAAAATGTTACCGGAGGCGCTTACCTGAAAAGGCCTACGCCTGTTCCTTGTGCTGGTGACAGTGCAAAAGTTGGCAAAATAGTCAAGTGCACCCATTTTATGTTGCTGTGAAGAAATGCAAAGCATGTATGCACTTCAGGCAGAAGACTTATATAGGGTGAGAAAATATATTGTACATTTGTACTATATAATAATTAAAATTATTCAAATGTCACGTAAAGTAAGTAGCCTTAGTTGTATGAGAGGTCCAAACCTTAATTTATCTAATATATTTACAGAATTTTGGCCAGGTTACAGTATAATCACTTTGTGCCAACTTTCTTTAAAAAGAAAAGGTTAGATATAGGTTTATGCAATTAGATTATAGTAGGATTATCATTACAACAACTGTCTCCAAATGTTTTAACAGTATTTCTAATAATGTATTACAGCTTGGGAATATTAGTTAGTCTACTTAATAATCTTCTTCCTTGGATTAGATATTCTTGGAACGTATATGAGCGATCATGCATGCCTCTAACTTTGTGGCGTTAGAGATAACTAGATAAGGTCATATTTATGTCTATCTGGAATAATAACAGTCGTATTGTGATAAAAACATTGTCCTAAAGTTCAAACTAACTCGTATTTGAACCATGGCTTATATAGTCTCTAAGGATAACAACTTATAGACATAAATCACATCAATGAACTAGTGTTTAAGATAATATATTATTTTAATTTAAATGAGGAATGGTATCTCTTCACGGCGTGATCTTAACCAAGAGATAATGAAAAATCAAATATACTTGTTCGATAAAAAGAAGGTTGAATGATTGATCTAAGTATATATGATCTAGAATTTAGACCAAATTTATGATCAAAGATGCTCAAAATGCATGAAATTGTGTCTTGATATTTTAACTTTATGAGTAAGTGAGTTTGCTTTTTGGATATTAGAATTAATTAATTATAGATTAGGCTAATGGAGAAAGTATTTTTGAAGTGCTTTTGCGTTTTGCTTTCATTTTTGTTCGTTAGGTGTGGCTTTGCTTTTTAACCAGTTTATATTTTTAATTAGAAAAAGGGCCAGAATAATTCAATCATGGCTGTAAAAGTTTGATATTATCCGTGTAATTAGCAAATAATTTTGTACTAAGCTGTGAAACTCAACACACACCACAGTGAACCAATCTTGTTCAAAGACCAAGTAAAATGGAGATGATATATATTATACGGAATATACATTAATTACGAGTAGTTTTTTCTATTTTTTTTCACGATTAAAAGCTGAATTTTACTGATCAAAACTATTTTTTGCGGCTAACACTCAAGGGTTGTAAGTTTAATTTTTGCGGCTATTAGTGAAGGGTTGTAAGTTTAAAGCAATGTCATATACTCGCGTAGTGTACATTAGAGTCGCATCATGGCTGGCCTCCCCATCTATTAATTGATCAACCTCTAACTACCAGGTTTGAGGATAGGGTACGAACCACTCATAACGCCCAAACTCACTCGAGCAAGTCTTTAATTTAGCTTTCAAAATCCACCAAAATTTTTACCTACTTTTAAAACATTTTGTGGGAAAAAATTGTCTAGCTTTTGAAAGACAAAAGTACTAGGACGTCTACGAATATCATAAAAACCTCTAAAAGTATATGAGAATTAAATGAAAAAAATAATATCAACCCTTAGTACTTAGTAGCCATTTATTAGCCTGTTAGGGTCATTGGATTAATGAAGTTTCTTCATCAATAATAAACTATGTAACGGCCTATTTGATAGATGGTAATAAGAATTAACATGTATATAAATATAAATGTTGTAAGAAAAATCAATATTCATTCCCTAGCAATTCTCATTACCACTTGGGGGAGGTATTGGGCGATAATGAACATTTATGAAGAAAAACACAGGTCTGGGGATGAGTTTGCATCACCAAAGAGATTAGAATATAACTTTCCTTGCCAAATACGAGTACATTTCAATTCATTCTCATTATCACTCTTTATAACCAGCTAGGCAGCTACCAAACTTAATTCCGATTATTGCTGATCAAAACTGATTTTGATTTGAAATAAATTAAACCCAGTCATGTTACTATAAATCTGTTGGCACTTGGCAGCAGAAGTATGATGTCTCAGATACAATATCATGTTACTACATGATGATGTTTGTTTGGAGAATAGTAAAATGACAGATAAGTGAAAGAATAAGTTACTGGCAAGGTAAGTCATTATGGAAAAAAATGCTGCTATAGCTATGGAAGGTACTGCTAAGAGAAGTCAGTATTGACAAAAATCAGGCATGGTGATATAGCTATGGATGGCACGTCGTGTAGTGCCTCTGCTGCTCTCAAGTTTCAACTCTTCAGTTAAAGCAAGCTAGCTACGGCAGCCTATCCTCTTCTCACTAGGAAGTTCTGATGAAAAAACGAAGAAATTACTCACTTTTTACGCTTGTGACATTGCAGCTCCCTTGTTTACGAAACTTTTAGCTTTTGACCTCGCAAGCCATTCCAAAATGCAGCTGCATTCACCACTTTCTTGCCCGGGAGCTGAACTTCTAGAACCTGCATTACCATAATGTTCTCTGCTTTAATTATCAATGAAAATGTTAACAAAGAATTTATTAAATCCAATACTATATTTTAGGAAATTTGACAGTATTTCCAGTCGACCCAAATTCATATACATGACTATACTAATATTTATACAAGGGGAGTACAAAAGAAGACTACAGGGCATACACACTTCAACCATTAGTGATCATCCTGATACGTTATAGCATTAGAGATTCTCATCTTGACCAATATTTGATAACTCTCAATTGGCAATTTGGCATACCCCACAATAGATACCTCCTGAACGGCTGCAACCAAAGGAAAGGAAAAAGCATAGCAATTTCTTAAAAAAACAACAGAATTAAGGACTCTGACCTCCAAAGCTGTGCCTCCATCACAAGTAAAGATCAATGCACCATTTCTGAAAGCGACACAATCTGCCTCAGCATTCTGAGTGTTGAAAGTGCTGGAAACTTTTGTTGAAATTATTTTTAACTCTAAAACGTTCTCTTGAGCATGTGCTGCATCCTCAACTAGAACTCTACCTCGAGTTCCAGGCCAACCTGCAAATGCCCGTACCTAAAAATGTCGTCATGATTGACTCAAATCATATAAAAGAGTACAAAAGAGTACTACCTTATTATGCAGGACAGTAGCGTCTTGATCAAACGATAGCCATGATTCTTCGGGAGTAATCTGCACAAAGGTATCACCTCTTAACTCAGCTTCCATGGAGAAAAGATTCCCAGCATGGCATATCATAAAGTAATCAAATAGATACCTTTGGAGCTAAGGTAGCTTTAGAATCATCTTGAAGTTGTGCTTTAGTTCTTGCTGTTCCGTCAATTATTGAAGGAAGCTCGTGCAACAAAATTTGGGTTGAGGAAGATTAGTTTACTCTGTATTTAAAAGGATAGAGGCAACATAAGCAAAATATACGGAGTAAAATAATTTAAGATACATCGTCAAAAACATTAAAGTTAGTCCTGGTTTAGTATTGCAATAATATGTCTGCTAGATGTTGAAAAGTTAAATGTGAAAAAAAGTAGGATTTGGGAACAACAATATCCCAGTCAACATCAATTCAAATTCAAGTTATAATTCCATACTTCCATAAAAGTTACTTGTGCAGAAATGAAGCACCTATTTCACAGTACAACTTTACATTGCGCATATATGTACAATATATAGAAGTTGCATCAAAGGCAGCTGAGATCAATAACAGCTCAAGTCAAGGCTAACATATATCAGCTATCTAAGCAAGACAAAAAAGTAGGATTTGGGAACAACAATATCCCAGTCAACATCAATTCAAATTCACGTTATAATTCCATACTTCCATGTAAGTTACTTGTGCAGAAATGAAGCACCTATTTCACAGTACAACTTTACATTGCGCATATATGTACAATATATAGAAGTTGCATCAAAGGCAGCTGAGATCAATAACAGCTCAAGTCAAGGCTAACATATATCAGCTATCTAAGCAAGACAACAGAAATTTTGCAGCAAATAGTTGATACATTAAAGAAGTTGACAGCTGACACACCAAGATCAAAGAGAAAATCCAGTAACTCTGGTGCCTGCGTGAAAATTGGTGAAAAGTATATTAGTTAGACTATTGTGCTCACTGCGACCTACATTTAATTGAAAATTATATACACCATGCTCCATAGAACGTATCTACACCTAGCCATCATATAGTTAATTACTAAAGTTAGAGAAAACAGAAAAACATTGTGGAATCTACAACAAACCATTTTGTCTAACAAGACTTCAGAGCTAAAATATAATTCTTGATGCAAATAAAATATCATGATACATCCACTTCTTAGTAATTTCACTTTCTTAATAATCTATATATAGACTCAGGTTCTACAATCAACTCCAAATTAATAATTGAGTTTCATGATTAGTATATGTACCTTAATATTGTCATCCACACCAACTTTTTGAGATGCAATGATAGGTCCAGCATCCAGTGCTCTAACAGTGAAGGCTAATGAAACTCCAGTTTCCCTAACACCATCCTAAATAAAATTGAAACACCCCAACATATATATATTAAAATATGCATGCATGAAAGTAAATAGTAAAGATCTGATAAATCATTTTAACCTGCAATGCTCTTTGAACAGGAGCAGCACCACGATAAAGGGGCAGCAAACTTGGGTGTATATTTACCGTGCCTATAAATGTGCAGAAACAACAGAGAAAGCATTGGGTTAAGAACTGGAGAGGGGAAAATGAGTGGATATTAAAAACAAAAAAAAAAAAGGAAAAAAAAAGGAAAAGAAAAGATAAACATCATAGTGATTCCATTCTAATCTACTACGTATTAATTAGGAAACCTATGCTATCCTTTGAGTAAGGTGCTCTATTGCTATGGTCACAGAATCAATGGGATACAAATATTTGAGGGACTGTAAGGGGATTGACATACCAACCTTGCTTTGGAATGCTTAGGAACTTGTTTGATAGAATATTCCCATACGCTGCTGTAATACAAAGTTCAGGTTCCAAGGCTTTAAGATTGGCCAAAAACCATTCCTGGGTAATATGAGTACATAAAATGATCAACTGAATCATTGCTTTCAATATTAGAGCTACAAAAGAGGATATTACAGAAATCGTCACTGCTTAAGATAATTTAATAAGCATCTACAAGAAGTAGCCTTTCTGGAATCCAACAGCATTGACAATGGACCAGTTATGGTTCTGAGGCAAGGTCTGGGGAGGTCTACAAGAAATCCTAGTACCTTGACACTGACCAATATAATACGAAAGAAGCTACTCTTGAAAATCCTGTAGCCTTTTCTTTTTCAGAATTATGAATTTTTTACCTAATACTTGGTGAGATTGAAGCTTCTAGAATCTCAGCGTATACCAATTTGCAGTCCACCTATGATGGACATGGATCGAATTCAACAGTATAAAACAAATTTCACAATGCATAAGTACTTATGCCCCAACAAAGGCAATCAAAGCACAACATTTGTTTATCATGTTACAAGGTAGCACATGAGAGTATGGGACATGATCTCCCTTATGATGGAGTCCATCGTACATATAATGGGCTCACAGCTGTTGAATAAACACATGCTACAGCATATTTCATTCGTTATTAGAAACCAAGGCATACAATTTAAATCTTGAAACAAACTATTGCAAATTCCTACGCATAAGCTTCATCTAGGGGACACAATTATAGTTCCCTAGTAACTCCATAGTCATCATATACAGCACAATAATATCAACATAATAGTTTACAATAAAAGCATAATTTGGAGTGACGAAGCCACAGTAATCACCTCATTTGCACGCTCGGGTGTGAAAATGAGATCTGAAGAGAAACCTCTTTCAAGGGCATGTTGTGCAACAGCAGAAGGCAAGACCTTTCTGCCTCTATTTCTCTGAGATGGAGGTTGGGTGACAATAGCTGCAACCTAAATCACAAATATTCACAAGTAATTTGAATCAATGATCCAACCAGCATGACAATAAATGAATTGAAATGTAACGGCAACACATTCTCAAGGACATAATTACATAAAGGATGATCCATTAGCCTTATTTCCAGGCAATTTTCTTCTTAAAGTTTTATGAATCTAATATACAGTACATGCTCTCAAAAGCAAATGTGTTATAACAAAACAATGAAAGACAACATCAACTTCCAGCACAGATTGCTTAAACCACAACTAAAGTACACCTAAGGGATCATGCTGCATAGAATTATGACCTTAGCGGCTTAGCCAGCTATAGCAAAGACACTTTTGAAGCTTCTAGTCATTAAAAATAGAGGAATAACAAATAATTTTAAGAAAATACATGTTTACATTGTTCACAACTTCTGCTTAGGAAGGGACATATACAATGTTGTCAAGAAAATAAGGAAGAAATTTGCACAATGGATTTCCTAATTCCATTCAAAGGCAAGTAGGTTATATCTTATTTCACCCAATTACCACACTTCAAAACCAGTCCTTAATTAAGAAAATTTCATACCCATTTCAATTATAGATCAATAAGACCAGTTGGGGTAAAAGAAAGGGGGCAAAGTCTTCAATTGATTACACAAAAATAACTTTTCTCCTTAAAGGGAAGGGGAGGTTGGGGAATTAAAAAAAAAAATCCATCTTCCTCTAAACAAAATTGGCATGGAAAAACTAGCACGGGAAATATGTCAAGGTCCTATCCTAGCCCAATAATGTATTTACTTATTTCTACCCTCCCTCTATTTATACTAAGGTTACAACTTCTACTAACCTAATAATACTAGATTTACCAAATTGCCCATACTACATTTGATAACTACTAACACCTAAACTACCCATAATGCCCTCCTTTAAGTTAGTTCATTACATAAGATACAGAAGATTAGGACCAAGCATATGATAGAAGGTTCAGTGTTCCCCACTCTTCTATCACTACAAGAAAACGCCACTGCTCTTGCAAGAGAATTCGTCATATCAAAAAACATATGTAAATCATTACCACTTAGAACCTCATGCTTCTATACCCTTATACTAGTCCTATGTTAACGATGATGCTTCTCATACTAAACGTGACTAATTTAAGGGAGGTGATTAGCACCAACTTGGAGTCTTTGATTAAGGGTTTCAGTTTTCAAGAATGTTTTAATAATTCTGATTGCAAAAAACACAATGAACTAATCAAATCAGGAAGTTAAAATAAGGGAAGATAATCACCAGACATACACAACAGCTGATGAATTAAATGTAGAAATCTCAATGCAATCATAAAACATTTCCATGGTTCCACCAAATGCTCAATTGCTACAACAATCATAACCCCAACTCCAATTTCAATTAGAAATACACAACAGTTTCAAAATATACAAAATCACTAATTTCCCACAAAATAAACCAATCAAGCTATAACATACTAAATAAACATCTTTACAAAAAAGCCCAGAAATGAAATCAATAAAAATTGGAAAACCAACCTCAAAAG